TTTTGCTAAATTTTAAAATTTCAATGCATATAAATTAGCGCTACTCATTATCTATTCTGAATATGTTGTTGATAACGATTTATCAGTTATGCGATAACAACATATTTTGACAAATCAAGACAGATGACGTCATAATCATGAAAACATTAAAATCGTAGATAGTAGCAACGATTTTGTCATTTTTCCATGATTATGACTTCATCTGATTTGATTTGTTAAAATATTTTGTTATCGTATACACGATAAATCGTTATCGAATCGTCCTAGTGTAAAATCTTCTCTTATTTCTTTTGTTTTCTATATGAACAATTGCTTTTCAGCTTTTTTATCGATATCGTTATCGTTAAGGCCTTCAGACGATCTTTTGAATGAAGGTTATGGTGGCGCTGTTTATCATCACACGCTTTATTGCCTATCTGAATCTCCTTTCTTCGCCGATCGAGCGGATGTTTTTGTGAGCAAAGTAATCTTTGATTCAGCATTTCAACAGATAGCAATTATTTAGTAAGATGAATTTATAAAAAATTAGAGACTGCATGCTTGTAACTATAAATTATATTTAACAAGAATTTGTTGCTGGTTAGTCCAATTGCGACTAACCAAATTATAGGCTAGGCCCGAGGAAGGTCTCTGTCTGTATCATGGTCTGTATGTAGGCCTAGGCTAGATACATCAACAAAGAACTGAAATGCATTACATAAACGAACAGGCTAGGCCTAGACTAGTACATAGGTTTATATAGGATATTAATTGCCAGATCTCTTGTTGTATTGTTATGTTCATCTTTTTGGGGTGTGTTTTAGGATTGCATGACTAGTGTATTAGTATTACAAATTATAAAACTTTCGGTACACCATCTGTAAAAATAGGTTTTTTTACTTCGGTAAAACCACTGGCTAAGCTAGGTAGGCGCCTAGTTACTAGCTAGTAGGCTAGGCCTAGTACTAGTAGAAGGCCTAGCCTCCATTCATCGTAACTATTAACTCTTCCAAAGGTTAGCTTGTTGTTGTGTAAGCTGTGTAGTAAGCAGTGTAAATTTGAAAACAAATAAAGTGGTTAACAGTAAGCAAGGTAAAAATAAATTAGCACAAGTAATATAGGCCTACCTATCTATGCCTACACCTGTACACTGAAAGTAAATAATATGTTTTAAAATTATTTTTCAATGGGAATTTTCGTTTGATCTTATTAAAACCTGAATTATTGATTGTTACTATAATCAAATATACAGATTAACCATAGGTTAATATACTGATGCTCGTATTTATTTGCCTATATTCTTTGCAAATGCTCTACTTTTTCTCTCTGTGTTAGTAGCTACACATGATATATACTGTACGATAATAATAAATATATTTAATTTCTTGCAACATGTTAGTATGTTTATATTTGTTTTTTCCTTTGTATTGTCTGTCAGATCTAGCACTTCAATGGATTTGAGTGATGGAAACTCTAACCAGGGGCTGATGTCCAACCCTGGATCATCCACTCTCTTCAGCATAGCTGATCTGGACGACATTTCCAAGACGACATCAGACCTAGGAGTTGATACAAGGTATTGTAGATTATTGTCAAGACTACAATTAATTTACTGTACATGCCAATTGTTACCAGATTTGGAATCTATATACTGTACTGAATTTCTTATACAGTATAATATTGGTATTAAAAATAGAAAATATAATGCTCATTGATAAACAGTAAATAGATGAACAACACAGATGTCTAGGACAGTTACACTTCAGTGGTTTGTGGCTCTTGCAAGCTCAAATTCTTTTCTTTTTTGTACTGTAGCTTTACAGCTTCTCATAGGCCTAATGTGGGTGCCAGTCTGCCACAGTCCCTCACACACCCAGAAATGATCACAGACATTTCTCAAGGTAAGTTACATCAATTGAATTCTTATTCTTTTGTTTCCATTCCATTTTCACCAAACAGCATGCAACTCTCAAGAGATGGAAATAAATATATTTTTAATTCCATACCTCCTGTTCACCCTCAGGACTCCAAAAATATTTTATAAACTAAGTGTTATTATGAGGCTTAGGGTATGTTTCTCCTGAATATCGAGAAAAAAACGGTTCTCTTATCATTGGTTGATTATCGGATTAGCAAGATAAGAACCACATTGCAGTTTCATTTTTACTCCACATGAAACGGTTACATAACAGTTTAAGTGCAGCCCTCCGACCCACTTTTATGCCCATCCCTACGTAGGCTCTATAGTATACAATAAGATAAATAAGTTTTTTTTCCCTTTTTTTTGAAGTTGAATTGCTTCAACAAGATTCAACGTCCCAAGATATTCCAGACACAAACAAAGAAGAAGTAAGAGTGTTTTATGTATTAAAGTGTAAACATTTAACAATTCATATGATAATTTTAATGGTTAAAAAAAATCATAATCAGCAGAGATAAAATCATATTTTCATTAAATATTTGTTTTTGTTAAAGAATTATTCCAAATCTAAAGGTGGATGGTCAAAGGGGAAAAAAAGGAAGAAGCAGATGCGAGATGTGAACGCACCTAAAGCACCATTAACTGGTTATGTCCGGTTCATGAACGAACGACGTGAGCAGGTAAGGCAGGAAAACCCTCAGGTCGCTTTTGCTGACATCATCAAGCTGTTAGGTGCAGAATGGAGCAAGATGAGTGCAGTTGAGAAACAGGTAAGTTGTGCATTTTTAACAGTTGGTAGTGGTCTAGGGCTACATAATCTTCTCTGAATTACTGAATGGCCTACATTACCACCTGGACTGCTCATCAACCCAGCCTGGACTACCACGTGGCCTACTCATTCACCTATCCTACACATCCAACTGGCCTACATATCCACTTGGCTTACATAGTCACATGGCTTGTATAACTACCTACCTGAATCATTCACCCAGTCTGGACTAACCCTGATCTACACATCCGCTTGGTCTGCTCAACCATGCAAGCATTCACTTGCATTCCTCTTTTTTTCAGGATTAGTAGTTTGTATTCAATGGAAAAGGCATGGTGCAAAATGCTTGGCCATTATATTACATTACAACAACATGTCCTGCACACAACCACCTGACCGACACATGCACATGGGCTGCACATTCACTCACCTTACACAACCATCTGGCTGCACATCCTCTTGGTCCTTATATTCTAGGCACTTCTTTAAAACAGTTAAAATGCCTAATCGTCAATCTAGCCATATGGCAACAATTGTTGAATGAATTGTATTTTCGTATTTAACTCAGAAATATTTAGATGAGGCCGATCGCGACAAAGAACGGTACATGAAAGAGTTAGAACAATACCAGCAGACGGAAGCTTACAAACTTTTTACCAAGAAACAGCAAGAACGCAAGAAGAAAGAAATGTTAGATGAGGTGGATGGTCATCTGAATGGACTAGAGGTCAGTCAGTTTGACCACATCATATTCCGTTTTACACATTTTGCAGTATGATTACTTCATGTGATAGATTTATTGCTATGTTAATCTCTATACATTTTAATACAGTATTTAAACATGCTATATAATCTCACTACAATTAATTTCTTTTAAGATGTTAATTAATCTTTTTGTTAATTCTGTTAGTACAATGATGATGGCAAAATGGATTCAGAACTGTCTACTTTTGATGTGCCTATTTTTACTGAAGAATTCCTAAATTATAATAAAAGTGAGTTACAGTATTTCAAAAAAATGTATATATTCAGGTATTTGTCAATATACCTTTTCGGAGTGTCAATCAAACTGAACAACTGACCAATGAGAACAGTGCCAGGAATAAGCACGCATCTCACAAACAAGTGTTGTCCCACAAGTGCACATGTTTTAACACTGTCGCCTTGTGAGACCTTAGCAACAGTATCCAAGGAGCTGGACTTAGCGGAAAGGTCCATTAAAACTTGAGCTACAGTAGATACTTAATTACAGGTCTCCCTCCAATTAAAGACCGCTCTTAGGACGGGTTTTCATGGTCTTTAGCAGGTTTGGTCTTTAATTAGAGTAATAAAAATAAAAGATATTTGTTAATTTGGGACCACAGAAAAGTGGTCTTTCATTAGAGGGAGACTTGTACACTGATTGTATAAGTAAATCTGATAGTTGAGCTCTTAATTTTTTTCTTATGCTGACTTTATGACTTCTATATTAATTTTATTGAGCATTTATGTTTAGCACGAGAAAATGAATTGCGCCAGTTGCGCAAGTCGATCACGGAGTATGAGGAACAAAATGCCATACTTCAGAAGCACATTGATAACATGAGGACAGCTATAGAGAAGCTAGAAGCAGAGACCGTTCAACAGCGAAACAACCAGATGGTGCTCAGACAGCATCTGGAGAATTGGCGGACTGTGCTTACATCACACTTCTCAACAATACCTTTGCCAGGTCTGTAGATTAAGCTGCTTTCGGATTTTCATATAGTATACCATTATCCTCGTCATGATATAATGAACACATTAGCATTAGACCAGCATAACCTTAATCAATATTATTTGTCATTGCCATCATAATCATCTCCATCATCATCTTTATCATTATCTGAATCATCATCACCATCATCATATACACCGTCTGCATTATAATCTTCACCATCCTCTTTTCCATCAGTCCTCTTCATTATTATTATCACTATAGGCCTAGACAAATCCATTTGGAAAAGGGTGCACTCTCTTGGCGACATCATTGCTGGGGATCGTCTTAGGGACCCTGACTGCATTTCATGTCAATATATTTAGAGTAGATTATGATAAAAATAAAATTCTGTAAGTATTATCATTCCAATATTTACATTTGTAACAGATGATACACAAGGATCCCCACCACCAGAGGTCCCCAGCTATGGCGTCTGACTGTAATGGATCGGTCTATAAACATCATGAACACAGATTGTCTAAGTAGTGAATGAGAGAAAATTTCATGTTTTTTTAATTTGACATGTTTTTACAAGAATAAAACTTTTCGTTCCTTGTAGGAACCAATGAGGTGCCAACCATCCACACCATAGACTTATACATGACCAAACTCCATCAGCGAATCCTGGACTCGCCACAGGAGAATGAAGGACTGATCTCAAGTATTAGAGAAATAGTGGCCAGGTTAGACCTGCAGAGGTATGTCACCAAAGGGATAGTCAACATAGGTTTTTTTACATCATGTTAATTATACGTTGTAAATAATAATCATGTGCTGAAGATTTACAGATGGCATGAGCTCCACCCCCAATTAATTATGAAATGTACAAAATGTATTTGCCAACTCAATCATAGTCAACTATGATCACCTAAATGTGATATAAATTTGTTAAACTTTGTTAATATGATAAAAATTGCAATAAAGTTCTTCGTATATCCTATAACTTATGATACTGTCTGTCTTACATTATGGATGCCATTTCACAGAGGCACAAACTGTACAGTATATATATTTTGTAAATAATGTTCTTAACATAATTATATGGACTTCATGGTGCAGCTATATATAGGATGATAGTCATCATATGATATACATCTTTAAAATGGTCCTAATATCTATAAACTTTATAGTTCTGGTTGTAGTCGATGTGTGTTCTAATCACCTATAGAATAATGCTCTTAATGTCTTTGCAGTTAATGGTCCTGATATGTATGAGATAATGGTTGGTAATATATAGTGTATTGTCTATTTTAACCAACAGTGACCCAAAGCTGTGAGGTTGTGCAAAAATTTGATCCGATCAAGAATATGCTTCAAGGTCCAATTAGATGAAGGTCTGAGTCGGTCGTGGAATTCTCAGTATCGTTGTATTTCATGGCAAAATAGATTCATCAGGAAACAAAATACCAGTAGTGGCAACTCTCAAGGAATCGAGTTGTAACCGACTGAAAACAAAGTTTTCGTTCCGACTTGTCTGGTCAGGGTTCAGAATCAGTGTATTGTATTTGTTGAATTACTAGAGAAGATCCTAGTTTAAAATTATCAGTACCTCAAGCAACATCCATTTGAAGCAGCTGTTGGTTCCTGACATACTGGTGTGGTGGTTCTTCATTGTCATATGTCATAATGATGGCTCTGGATTGTGGAAGATGAGAGTTTGCTTAGAGCTACTGCTCTCACACTTAATAATGAAACTAAACGTTTACCGACTTAGTCACCAACTATTTAATTCTTCTCATCTAAATGGTACATGTCGTGTATGTTGCGGAAAATTGTGTGGTACTACAGTACATCAGACCTATTGGAACTTGTTGATAAAGCCTAAATAAAAAACAGACTGACTCCCTACAGTATGTATACATATCAGAAATATGTCTGATGCATCTCATATGGAGAATAACTTGCATTTTATTTATGTATAAGCAGATATTGATTTAATTCATTATGACTGTTAAACCATGTAAGATACCATTTGAAATAAACTGTCTAAACCATGTGCTTAGTATGTGTAGTATACTAAAAGACTGAGCTGGATTTGTTAAAAATTAGTTATGCACCAGATGATTAAGATGTGATACTGCTGCCATCATAATTTTGATATAATGGTTTATGAAACCATATAGAAAAGGAATATGACTTTCAGTGTTCTCCGAGGCAGTTTTAGCTGTCAATTTTACCCGTAAAAATAACTAGCCAACCGGAAAACATTTTGTTTGCAAAATAAAAAAAACCCCCACTGATTTGGCCTAAGTAATCTAGGCTGTTATTCTTTCAATAAATGAACATAATTTCAGTGTATGCACAGGCTGTGTGTTGTTAAACCCACTCAAAACACTGTGCACAGCTTATTAAAAAAGAATCCTGCACACTTTTAAGTATTTTAAAGATATAATGTATATGAAGTGCAAAAAAACTTGGTTTGTGGCAGAGGTTCATATGTACATTTTAGAAACTCAAGGAGATTAATAGAGATAAAGCCATGCTGGTGCCTCCCTGGAATTAATACCTATTGAATCATTTATAGAATTTTTGTATCTATTTACAGAAAGTTTTTGTCATCCTATAAAATTATTTCATCACTTATTTCAATAAGACAAATATTAAAGAACTGTGACATAAGTTACAAGCATGTGCATTGACAAAGTACTTTCCAGTAGTGATTTTATCTAAATTTGTGTCTACCCAGGAGACTTAAATCTGTACCTGGTAGTAATACGTAGTACATCTCAAGCAATTATGGCAGTATACTTTATCTCTGAGGGCCTTTGGCCCATTAGAATCAGGGGCGGATCCAGAGATATCCGAAAGGAGGGGCCGATCGAGACAACACTACCTAAATCCGCCCCTGAGCATTGTATTAAAAGACAGAGGGCCATAAGTCACCATTGGGGGGTTTGCGGGGAAATGCAAAGATAGACCAGCTTGGGTTACTTAATATACATTATTCAATTTCCATAATTACATAGATAATACATTTTAAATATTTAATATTTATTGATCTGCATCTGTCAAAATTCAATAGGGCTTGTCACACTATTGTACTGTTATGTTTTTGTAAAGTACAAAGAGGTCCAATGATCCTGTGCTATATTTTCCTCACCCTTTTGCCAAAAATGAAATTATTTTATCGAAAAGGTGGATTTTATTACAATTAAGCACCCTTTCTGTACACCCTAGTAGAAATTTGTAAAGATAATGGAGTACTGTAACTTTAGCATACAAAAGATATATTTGTTTTGAAGATATAACCATAAGTGTTACCAGGGTTGGTTATACAGTATTTGTCGGTGTAGATGGGGGATAAAAGGGCCACAAAGAACAGGGCGACATGTTCTAGAATAATTTTTAAAGGGTATCTATGTGATGCTAAGTGTAGGGAGTCCCAATGGTACTTAAATGCTGTGTCAGGGGTACCATGGTGTATCACTAGAACTAGTTTCAGATTTGGTATATTTCCAAATTTGAAAGTCTAGCTGCTGTGTGTTGTTTAGTGAGCGGCACCATAGTAGGGCAGACTGTACAAGGAGGGGAAGTAATTACATATTTGGCAAATGTTTTGAAAATGACAAACAGTGATGAACAAAATAATCCCCAAAGAATGGCCTGACAGGTGTTGTCAAAAATTTGAGGTCATATTTTTTGATGAGTGGCAAACTCCTGTGATGATTCAACACATGGAAAACAATTCCTTGGGGAAGACTACTGGTTCTACTTCTTCTCAACAAGGATTAACTATATTTGATAATGTTTTCCCCTTTGTGTATGTTAAGGATATTTTTTGTCCAATAAAAAATATATCAAATTAATACACATTTGGACTGTTTTATTTTCTCCATTTTCAAAATGTCTAGTGCACTTATTGTACAGGATTTCAAACCTTAAAAATATATGCATATCACACTTTTTATGTACAATTACTCAGTAAATATACATGAAAATACAATTATCTTTACTATAAGTAACATTTAAGAATTTCTAGTGCACACTGCATTGTCACTTAACAGCTTGTGAGCTGTTATTTGTTTCATCAACAAAAGAATAACTACATTTGGTCAAATATAGTCTTAATAAGTTTATTAAGCAACCATGCACCCAGATTTAAAGACTATAATTAGCTGAAATATGTACTGAACTGGAGTGAAACAATAAGGAAGAATATTTAAACATATATTGCCCAATGAAACAAATGAATTACATCACTCTGGTAGTCATTCGGCAAGTTGGCCAATCAGTCTTTACTAAATATAGTTAGACATAAAAATACATTTAAATGCAAACTGTAGACTGCAGTTGGTGTGCAAAGTTATTGTCAATCCTAGAGGGCAGAAAACTTGTGATTTTCCTCAGATTAGGAGCTGAGCTGTGACCTTTCCTCTCATGAATATTCATATCCTATGAACATATACCAATCTGGCTTAACCAGCCAGTGACTGATTATCTTCACCTTTCTCAGGTGGTTTGTAGTAAGGATCTCTAGTAAGCAGTACCTCCTGTAATTTCATAAACGTTTCATCGGTCTTTTTGACAGCATTACCCTGAAAAAATATATGTATTACAAAATGATGCACATTATATAGAGCCTTTAAATCAATGCAGTTATTCATCCAAGTTTTTTTTTACCTTGGAATCACAAAAAATACTCAGTTAATAGTGGCATAACCAGGGGGTTTTCACCATGCCTGACCACACCTTTTTTATTATGTGAAAAAAGTAAATTAATAGCAAAGTAAGTTACTTCAGACATTAACAACCAATTCATTTTCCTTAGTTTTCCACCTTGCATAGAGTTAGTGGATGCACTATTTCTATTCAGTACCCCACTTTTCAAAATCCTGGATATGATTCTGATTAAATAAACTTTAAATTGACTATGAAGAACACACTGATGGAACTTACATTTAGCGACATTCGCAAGATTCCTTTTAGAGCTGGACTTGGTGTCAGGTTTAATAACGTTATCTGGTATTGTACAGCCAATAACAAACTCTTCATTCCGATCTCAGTTATATTATTACCTAAAAATAAAAATACAGAATGAAAGCTTTACAAAAAGCTAGCTATGTTTTTTGTGATAGTCTTGTATAAATTTTTTTGTTTGACAAAAGTGCCGCACCCTAAATTCATAGAAGCCATTTCAAGAGCACCTGGTTTTATAAACTTTCTTAACAGATCTTATTGTATTTTTCAAGACTATGAGACGCTACTTACGAGATAAGTTGAGGTTGATCATACATCGATTCCCCGGAATCCACAATTGGTTATCCATGTTTTCTACTTGTTCCAAGAGAGGGTTGATGGCTTCCACCATCTCAGGAGACTAGATGGAAAAAGAGAAATGAAAATTTTGGTTAATACTACTGTAATCATGTTGTATGTTTGCGAGGAAAACTTTTGTTTTATGGTCATTAATTTGTTTATTTTTGTGCTCTGTTGAAGAACTGTACCATAATAATAATAATTTAATATCAAGCTGTACTCAAGGGAGTAAAGAAAGAACAGAAGAGAAAAACACAACTAAAAAAAAACCCACTGGAATATTACCATTAATTAGAAATTTAGGGCAGGTCAATGTAAATAATATTAAAAAAAAATCTAGAAATACTCACATCCGACTCTGGTAACCTCTTGTCCTTGGATGATGTCTTCTTCCCTTTGGTCTTGGTCATTGTGTCAGCTACAATAGATGCTAAGTCAGTACATTGGTCGAAGAGAAGAGAAGAGGACAGAACACGCACACCGCAAACACATTAGAAAAACACAGCAACCATAAATGTGCGACAGCAAAAGAAAGTCGGAGCAGACCATAGGCAAGATCAGTATCAGTATCAATTTGGGGAGAAGCAAATAAACAATTTAATTGCTTACTTTGTATATTTAATACAGTTATAAGCTTTTAAATTAGGAATTGAAATAAAGAAAATATATTCCTAATCATCAAATGCATAAATACCATTTATAAATTACTTCGCAATACTTTTGCAATAAAAGCATGCATTCAAGTCAGGAAAAAAAATTGTATAAATATGTGTCTTTTTGGAAGTTATTTTATCAATTTAAATAGAAATCAGTGAATGTTTAATTGGATTTTTGAGGTTGTATCCAGATTGTGTATGAGATAGTGCCTCTAAATCTTTAATTTGTAAATAAATATTTTTGTATTTTATAATAAATATCTGAAGACAGATATTGATACTAATACTGATCTCATTTCTAAAGCTTGAATAGAGCATATTTTTTTTTATAAATTGTTTATTTATTTAATTTCTAAAAGCGACACATCCCAACAGCATGTGCACTCGCCATTTGCATGATGAAACTAGTGCTTGTGATGCACTATAATCTACACCAGATTCACACAAGACAAAATGTTACATGGGACACATGCTTAGGAAAATATATAATCAAGATATTCTTGTTATTTAATCAGTTTGAATGCGCATCTGTGTAAGATTAGCAACCCTCCTGTGCAACTCCAAATACAGTACAGTACCTGTACAGTTGCTGTTTATGTAAGAAAATCAAGCATGGCAGTCCAGTAACACTCCCGAGATAAATTAGTATAGTGAGAGCTTTCTGAATCATTGCCACTCTGTGAGGTATCTGTACTATCTGTCTAGCTATCTCTATGCGCCATGCAAAATTTATTCTGTATAACCATAATTTACTGTTTTTCATTCAAAATTCACATTCATTTTTCTTTTGATAAATTAAGTTCAAGTTGATTCCAAATGATGATGGTAGACCCAGAAAAAACAGATTTAGGCCTAGTTCGATCAAGAACAATTACCGTTCTCAACAAAGGGAAATCAAAGTCATATCAAATTGTACCAACTTGAATTTGTTCATAAACAATTGGCGACCACTGGTAGGAATATCTGGAGAAATCTGTGTAAAGCTGGTTTTCCACTAGGGGAATTTATTCGCGCGAATCAATGCGTCGGTTCGCTTCCTGAGTTCTGATTGGTTGCGCAACTTTTCGCTTAGCAAAAACTCCGATAGAAATGTGAATGCGCATGGGCCGCCGCTTTCCATTCGCGCGAATAAGGGCCGCCGCTTTCCATTCGCGCGAATAAATTCGTCAAGTGGAAAACAGGCTAAACAGTTACCATGTGTCTCGTGTTTTGTCTTGTGTAAATTGGTTGCAAGTCTTTAAATTACAGTGTTTTACTAGATTTGACCCAGAATCCTGATATACACACCAAGCATCTATTACACATCAAGTATTTTTACAACAAAATATATGCTCAGGAATATCTAATTTTAACAAAGATACATAATTTATAATTGGAAAACATATAATTCAATAATAGTAATTCATTATAAACAAGTTAAGTTACTTAACGTAACTCAAATAAATATCTATATATTTTAAAAATTTGACATACTATTTTTTTTTTTTAATATCTGAGTTCACCAGAGTAATGGACTATTTTCAACAATGGGATTTTAAAAACCTACATTTAACATTTACACACTGTTCATGCGCATTACGTTTGGAAACATGCATATCATGCATTGTGCATACACTGCTACCAGGGGTCCCAGATTGGAAGAAACTCCTCCCAGGAGATCTGGTTAAATGAGCTTTTTTAACATATTTTATTTTGCTGTGAATGGTAACACCCATGGGCACTTGAAACTTGATAATAAAGTAGCAAAAACATGTAAATACAGTATTGTGAATTTGCGGGACAAGGGTTATTTTGCGGAAGATTCTTGCTTGCTTGCAGGAGGACGTCCCCATTTTCAGGAGACCCCCACAACTTCCGAGAGAATTGGGAACCCTGCTGACACAGATACTAATGAATATATTTACTAAAAATGGATAATCCAATTGGTAGATACTTTGTCACTGTTAAAAACTATTTTGCGGAGAATTATGTGAGGCACAACCATTTTTTTGTTGTGCTAGAATGGGCCCTAAATCTAAATGTGAGGCTATCTGATGAATGACAAAAAAATCTCAATGCTTGTAGGATCTAAATATAGGACCATAGGAGAATCTTAACTATAGCTACACTCCTCCTATACAAATTAATAAATCATACAATAACAATAAACCATACATACCTAATGCATTTTAACATACAAAATAAATATTAGATTAAAAAATATATATATATTTTGAGCATGGAATTAATAATATGGTATTAGATATGGATTATTATATTAGTATAAATGTACTGTAAATAAATTTTGTTAAAAATTGTTAAAAACTTGAAGGCTTCAAAGGGTAATTTATTGTATTAGCTTTATTAGTAATGGAATTTATGAGCTTCATTTTCCTGCAGTTATTTGCAAATCTAATGGTTAATGCAAACAGCCCAGTGTTCTTTTTCTGTCATGAGATCCATGACAAAAACAATAGTTGACAATGTGTCAACTTTGGGATAATGCATATTCAAACAGTTTTAAGGTGCTTTTTAATGTATTTTTCTAGTTAAGTTGTTTTCTTTTAAGATATTTGTTATGATTGACACACCTCCTGAGTGCCGCTGATGTAAATGGTGTCTGTATAGAGTCAATAAATAATTTGATTTGTGTTAGCTATTGGGACAATGTGTCAACTATTGGGACAATGTGTTAACTATTGAGACAATGAGTTAAATATTGGGACTATGTGTTAGCTATTGGGACAATATGTTAATTATTGGGACAATGTGTCAACTATTGGGACAATGTGTTAACTATTGGGACAATATGTTAACTATTGGGACAATGTGTTAACTACTGGGATAACATTGTTTTGTGACATGAGAACATCATCCCATGACAATTAAGTAAAACAGAAACTTTAGTGAATGATATTTCAATATTTTATATATTTTAAATGAGTGTTGATGAAGTTTTTACATGTAAGCAATCATATAAATAACAAACTGTGGACTAATTCAAACATTGGATTTACAGAATATTTTCAAGGAATAATACAAAACCATTAAAGATAATATTTTCCAAACCAAAACTAACCAGAGCCACCTCTGATGCATTACACGTAACATTTCAACAACAACAATAGAAACTAAATTCTCAGAAAAAATATAGAATGGTTTGTATAACATAACATCTTTGGGAAGTGATTGTCAAAGAAAAATTAGTTTTTTGTAGACTATTAAACAAAACAAAAAAAAAGCAAAAAACAAAAACAAAAAATTATGTGAGTGAACCAAATAAAATAATGAAATTAATCAAAATATAATGCATTGATGTATGGATACAATAACAAAAATAACAACTGATTATAAATATGATATAAAATGCTGGCGAAGCTTTAAATAGAATTAATAGTTGAGTTGTGATAAATATACATAAAGCTTGTTAACTATTGAGACAATGAGTTAAATATTGGGACTATGTGTTAACTATTGGGACAATGTGTTAACTATTGAGACAATGAGTTAAATATTGGGACTATGTGTCAACTATTTGGACAATATGTTAACTATTGGGACAATGTGTCAACTATTGGGAAAATGTGTTAACTATTGAGACAATGAGTTAAATATTGGGACTATGTGTTAACTATTGGGACAATATGTTAACTAATGGGACAATGTCTCAACTATTGGGAAAATGTGTTAACTATTGGGACAATGTGTTAACTTACTGGGATAACATTGTTTTGTGACATGAGAACATCATCCCATGACAATTAAGTAAAACAGAAACTTTAGCGAATGATATTTCAATATTTTATATATTTTAAATGAGTGTTGATGAAGTTTTTACATGTAAGCAATCATATAAATAACAAACTGTGGACTAATTCAAACATTGGATTTACAGAATATTTTCAAGGAATAATACAAAACCATTAAAGATAATATTTTCCAAACCAAAACTAACCAGAGCCACCTCTGATGCATTACACTTAACATTTCAACAACAACAATAGAAACTAAATTCTCAGAAAAAATATAGCCATTAGAATGGTTTGTATAACATAACATCTTTGGGAAGTGATTGTCAAAGAAAAATTAGTTTTTTTGTAGACTATTAAACAAAAAAAAAAGAAGCAAAAAACAAAAAATTATGTGAGTGAACCATATAAAATAATGAAATTAATCAAAATATAATGCATTGATGTATGGATACAATAACAAAAATAACAACTGATTATAAATATGATATAAAATGCTGGCAAAGCTTTAAATAGAATTAATAGTTGAGTTGTGATAAATATACATAAAGCTTTATATGAGATGTTGGAGCAAAATGTACCATTTGAAATCGGCTGTGAAGTTGGAGGCACTACAGAAGTTCGGCTTCCACCTGAATATGATACAGCAAAAATAGAAAAGCAGAAAATTTGAGCAAAGAAAAAAGGAACAATGAAGATGGTTTGTCAATAAATTAGAATAATTAAAATAGGACTGATGAACCAATTTAAAAAATCAATTAGAATTCAACCAATAATATATCTTTAAATATCTTTATGCAGAGACAATGTATTGTGGGTGTATGTGTTGAGATAAGTATGCGTGTATGTGCATCTGCATTCAGTAGGGTTTTGTATTCACCTACTTAATAGTATCACATCTTGGAAAATACTGCATAAATGCTGTTTTGTGTGTATTGCATATTTTTTACATGTACACTGTACAGAACACTAAATAATATGCAACATTCTTAATTTACCACATATCTTCAACCAATGTTGGAATTGGCGGTAAAAATGATAAAGAAACATTCAAAATCAACTGGATTCTATGGTAATATTGGATATTAAAATGTTATATGCAAGCTATAATTATTCTGGTGACAAGCCAAGAAAATTTACAATTACACTGCCATACATTATTGGGACAAACTCAGAACAGAAACCCAAACTGGTTTATTCTATTTGTTAAAAACTATCCTATAATTCTTAATTTATCAAATACATTCAATGCTTGTAAATGGATACAAGCCAAAAAAAAAAAAAGAATTTCTCCAAATGAAATTATAACACATTAATATTAACTTGATTCTAAATTGAACTGTGGGTACTTGATATCACATTATAAACATGCTATAATTATTTTGTTGACAAAACCACCAAGTGAGACTTATACTAATGTGAATTCCATCTTGTTAATTTAGAACCAAATTGTCCTACCCCTACAAATACTACCAATTTCTTAATCTTGAAGAGTCTGTTGTAAGTGCTGACTTATACATTCTCAAATAATGGGCCTTAGCGGAGGCAATGCCTCTAGGGTGTTCTTTTTCCCCAGGCTAGTATTTCATCCCCACTTATTGGTGTCATGCTTATACATTGGAATAACTGTTTGCATGCATGCATGCACAATTAAATGGTATTGGTTTAAACACATGTAAAAACACACACATACACAAAATAATATTAACACATACCACAATCAATACATGCTTATGTAATTATTAATGTCTGACTACTAATGGTGGATAAAAAAATAAATTTGGTCAGCTTCTGTTTTTTAAATGAATTTTATATTATTAAGCATAAATACTCTGTATATTTTAACAAAAGATTTTAATGAATTATGAATTGCTGAAGTATTTAAAAATTTATGTCAAAATAAAAACCATTCTCCAAGAATGGCAATATTTGTTCAAAATAACAGATGCATGCACTTGTAACACACTTTTGTGCAGAATCAAACAGTGGTTTGTGTTTGTGACTGGAAAGTCCATTATAATATAGTGACAATAAAATAATTGTGACATAGTGGTGACAATTGTTATAATGACATTCTATTTTGATGACATTTTTAAGTATGGTGACATTTCATTTCAATTTTGGTGACAATTTTTAGTAGTGACATTTTCAATGTGACGATTATTACAATGACTGCAACATGATCACATTTCAGGTATAAGTGATTGAAATGGGAGGTGTAACAACAAAAGGCCTACCAGCTATTGAAGCCTTCATGAAGCCTGTAGGTATAAAATGAACATATAATGTATAGAACAATCTAAACATGCCAAACTACAACATAATATCATGACTCAATACAAAACAGATGAGGAAGAGGGGTAAAAATAATAAGCAGTGGCGTATCTAGGTGGTGCGCCCAAAATTACTGTCAAGTAGTTAAGAATCACTTCAAATGACCTAATTCAGTAACA